ATCGCGATGAACAGTGGTAGAATCACACATTTCTCCAGTGGCGGTGGTCACCCGTAACGGTGGAGAAAGCACAGACATGGGCAGCTCAAGCCCCACAGCAATCGGGGTAGCAATAAAGGAATGCGTAGCCCCGGAGTCAAACAATACATCAACAGAAGATCCACCAATAGAAACAGTACCTCTGACAAGGTTCGGAGCTCGGTCCGACTGCTGCCGATCCAAAGTGTAAACTCGCCCCGTGGCAGGTGGCACAACAGGTACCGCTGAAGGTGGAAGGGGAGCCATTTGTAATGGAACTGCTCGAACTGCTGCAGCTCTCACCGTCGACGACGACGGACAATCTCTGGAGCAGTGGCCCTCCTTGCCACACTGGAAGCATATCAACTGGCCTGAAGAACACGGCCCAAAATGAGTCTTCCTACACCCCGAGCATCTGGGAGCGGGAGATCTCGCTGTACTCCCCTGAGCAGAAGTCCTCTTAAACTGATTTGGCGCTTGCCGAGCCGCCATCTGATTTCCCTTGCCTTTGCTCCCAAACTTACTGTCCCTCCAAGAAGTGGAACTACTAGTTCCCTTCGTCTCAGCAATCTTGGCCCTTTTGGCCTTACTCGAGTTGCAGAAGTCCTCGATGTCCCGACACTGCTGCACCAGTGTCTCAAAGTCTCTCGAAGCAGAACCGGTGAGGTAATTAGCAACATCCTCATTAAGTCCCCTGCGGAACTTAGCAACCAAGAAGAACGGAGTAGGCCTCTCCATTCGAAAGTGAGCGAACTTAACCAGCTCATTGAACTTGGACAGGTACTCGTCAACAGACAACGAGCACTGCACCAACCTGTCGAATTCCCCTTGCTTCCTCTCCTGAGCATCATAAGGGAAATACCGACCCAGAAAGCAATCCTCGAAGAATGGCCATGTCATAACATGACCCTACATCTCAAAAGCATGCGAGGTGTTCATCCACCACTCATGGGCATCGCCCTCCAGCATATAGGTAGCAAACATCAGTTTCTGCGGATCTGTACACTGCATGACCCGGAAGATCTTATCCAGCGCCTGTAGCCATCTAGCCACAACAATAGGATCGTAAGATCCATCAAAGGTAGGTGGCTTATGCTTGCGAAAAGCATTAAGCCGGCGATCAATCACATCTCTATCTACAGCAAGATCTATGTAGGGTTCCATCACCCCAGTGAGTTGACCAGTGCCCTCAACATGGCTCTGGCTCTCGTCCTGCAGACTAGGTGGAGGCGGCGGTGGTGGCGGCGGTGGAGGTGGTGGCGGTGGGAACTGACCAATAGCAGGACTAGCTCTCATCTCCTCCAACACGACCCTCATCATGGTCATGTTCTCCAAACGATTCGCCTCAAAAGCATCCTCCGTGGCCTTTTGGTTCGCCTCACGAGCGGTGTCCATCATTGCCACGTTGGTCAATCTAGCGGCCTCCTGCATCTCAGCTAATGCAGTCAGGATTGGGTCGGGTTGACCCTCAGCAGTCTCGCGAGTTCTCCTGGGTAATACCATGACTCTGCACAAGTTACACACATTATGAGTTGATCAGGCCCACGCAATGTGATCACATGCATTATCATAATAAAACTCAACAGAGCAAACACACAACCAAGCATCCTAGTTATTGCAATACATACAAGCTTTTCCCAAGAAAGTGCTCTGATACCATAAAATGTAACACGCCGTATATATCTGGTTTGTTATCATATCATCGTATTAAGCCACGCTTAATTTAAAAATGTGGAATATCTTTTTCTTTTCAATTATGACGTCATTATCATTAGCCAAGTTGAATTACTTACTTCATTTCATAAAACATCGCCTGTATGTAAATTGCAAAAGACAGCTAACTGAAATACCCCATAACATAAATATGAGTATCTAAGTCACGGATCTACAACACGTAGTCCAGATAATATCCTGATACATTATTAATTACAACTAGAAATAACTAAACATAAAGTCAAGTCAATGTGGCATGGACAATCCCCATGCTCACCAAATAAGGCAACAAAGCCCCATAGCCGTCTCAACAATAATATCATGAAGCTAAGCTCGGCCTCCTGCCGCTAGTGGTCTCAACCCCCGCATTACCTGAACCTGAAATATGTGCGCCAGACGTGGGGTGAGATCTCTAAAAATCTCAGTAAGACAAGGGGTCCTCAAGGATCTTCCACCCCAAGCTCACTTACACGTGCAATATAAGTTCAAAAGCATTTGACAGTATAAGTTCCAAAACTATGCAGTGCAACAGATATTCATGCCATGTGTGTTATCACTATTCTACTGGCCAGAGAAATGCAGAACATACGTCTACAACCCCACAATAAGTACAAGGAACACCGCATGCACCTCACCTACAGCCTCACCATCTTGTATGTCTCCACATACTCAGGCTTACCGCATAGGTGGAACACCACATGCATATCATACAGGCACTCGCATATAACAGCTCAATCGCATTTATCAAAACAATACATAAAAACAACATCATGCATATAAACCATCCCCCATGGGACATGGTGGAACCAACAATGGCTAAACCGAGGACACGAAAGCTTACCTTGCAAGCAAACAATCCAAGCCAAGGGTCCACACAAGCTCAAAGTCCACACACAGTAGAATCACAATCTGTTTTGGACCAGCAATCATATCAATAACTATAGCTCACAAGCATATACATAAAGACCACGTTTTTCCTTTGCGTTCTATGTCTTAAGGCTTCTCACAAAGCCACAAGCCCTTAATCCCTTGATTCTGACTTAACTAATTATTACAGAGGTTCAACATAACCCATAATGGGTCCACAAACCCATAAATATCAATCTGTATGAATAGAATAGCTTTTATTCTTTGAAAACCCAGAATATTTGGATATTCGTCGGGGGCATATCCGGATATCTCTCTTCCAATATCCGGATATCAATATCCGAATATTCATATCCCCATATCTGGATATCATATCCGGATATCAATATTCGAATATCCATATCCAGATATTTCGCGACAGAATGCAGTTCTGCATTTCACGAGATATCTTTCCCAAGGTGGTTCATTTCATGCATACAGAAGCTCAAACATGCGATTTACGGTGTGTTTAGCATTACCCAACCTTAAGTTATCAACTTTAGTTCATTACATGCATCAAGGTTCCATTTTTAACAAAGAAACTCAAGCACAAGGGTGATGATCATACCACAAGCTCAAAACAGAGCAAGAAGGTTCTCTTGAAGCTCTCTAGCAGCTCCCAAAGGTTCTGACTTTGCAAAGAACAAAAATGACAAAAAAGTAAGGTCCTTTCTTCACAAAGAAAGCTTCTTGAAGCTCAAAATGCCAACACCAAGGCTCCCACAACCCAAACCAAATAAGTCAGCCCACAAAACACTCTCTAACAGCACCCTCTACTCAGCAAGAGCTGGACCTCATCCTCACAAAGCACTCCCTCAAGTGTTTACAATGTAGAAGAGGAAGAAATCTAGTAAAAAAATGACAACTTGGTGGTTTTTTAAAGGAAGGAGAGCATGAACAGAGAGGAGGCTGATCACAGCTCCAAAACCCACGCAGAACTCAGATTATGGCCTAGGGTTGAGTGCCAAAAGTTGTATATATAGTCACTTAGAAATTAAACACACAGTATTATCGTTAATTGCTACGCTTAGCATTTTAATCCCAAACTTAGGATTCTGAACCTACTCAATTTTACAAGATTTATCATATTTTTATTTTGTTTTTCACAGCACCTTTTCGATACGCGCTTTTCCATTGCCAGTATCAGTTCTGGCACCAGTTCTCATTATTTTAACTTGAAACTTGAAGTCACAGTCCTATATATTATTCTAGTGACATATACACACTTTTTATAATTTTTCGGGATACTTCATCGGTACGCATTTATACCGAGTAGCAGAACCGATATCTGCACTTTTCGTCCGAAAAGTGACTTTCAGCATTATTACTCACTTACTATAATTATCTAAGTCTCATAATAATTATTAGGTTCAATTATGGAATTATTTCCTAATTTCACATAATTTATTAATTAACTTCTTTAATTAACGGTGTGGGTTCTTACACTTATCTTCTTCAACAATAGGTTCCTTATCACTCTTCTTTTCTTCAGAATACTTCTATATAGGCTGAATGACTTTCCCACTCATAGTAGTAATTGCATTGCAATGCTCTTTACTTTGATTTGGATTAGTGTTACTTGGAAAAGTGCCTTGAACTCTTTCAGAGATTTGCCTGGATAACTGGCTAATCTGAGTTTTCAGATTTCTTATGGAAGCTTCTTGATTCCAGAATGCTGATCTAGTTTCTGGCATGAAAGCATATGTGTCCTCTCTGAAAGTATTTGCACCTTGTATGTAATCAGAAGTGGTCTTGGATAGCTGCGCAAAAGCTTTCTCCCACTCAGAAGAGTTACTTTGTAGTGAGGGATGTGGTTGTAGTGGAAAGGGAGGGTTGAGCTGATGATTGGACTTGTAATTAAATCTTGGATGCTGATTTTGATTCTTCCACCCTTGATTGTAATCATTCCCATACTGGTTCCTCTCAGGATTACTCTGGTTCTTTTGATCATACCAGAGTCCGTTGACTTCAGTAGTTTCAGGTGCTATCGTTAAATCACATTCTTCTGTAGCATGAGCACTTGCACAAATTCCACAACTAACTGGAGGAGTCTTGACATAAGAGACTTGAAATTTTGTGAACTACTTTGTGAGAGCATCAAGCTGTTGCTGCTATTTCTTGTTAATTTGTAAAATCTGTTCATTTTGTGCCAACAATGCATCATAGCCTTCTAGCTTCATAATCCCCGCTCTCCTCTGTGATACTGGCGCATTATCAAACTCCTGAGAGGGTAGAGATTCTAATAATTCCAAAGCTTCATCTGAGTTTTTGTTTCCAAAGAACCTCTTGATGCAACATTTACCAAAGTTCTTGTGTTAAGAGTCACGCCTTGGAAGAAAATTCTCCCTTTCTCCCAGGCTTCAAAACCATGTTGTGGGCATTTTCTAAGTAGTCCTTTGAATCTTTCCCATGCTTCATATAAAGATTAACTTTCTGTTATCAAAAAAAAAAAAAAGATTAACTTTCTTTTTTCTCAAAAGAAGTGATATCTGCCTTGAGCTTTGCCATCTTTGAAGTCGAGAAATATCGAGCCAAGAATTTTGTTGCCAAGTCATCCCAGTTGGTGATGTTTCCTTGAGGTAGTGATTGCAACCATTCTCTTGCATCTTCTTTAAGTGAACAAGGGACCAATCTAAGCAAAATAGCATCACAAGACACTTCATTCATCTTCAAGGTATCACAGTAGAGCATAAAGTTCTCAAGATGAATATATGGGTCTTCTGTGCTTCCTCCGGCGAACTGATCTTTTTGAATCAATTGCAGCAATGCCGGTTTAAGTTCAAAGTTGTTAGCATCCACGTTGGGTCTAACTATGCTTGCCGTCTATGGAACTCGGGCAGGAGTCATGTAATCTTCCAACGTCCTTGGGAGTTGATTGTTATCTGCCATGTCTTCTTCTCTTGGTACTGACGAGCTTGAAGCTTCTTTATCTTTCTGCCTTCTTTCTTTAGCGATCTTTCTGTTTCTCTTTGTTGTTTTCTCTATCTCCGGGTCGAATTACAAGGAATCGGTGTCAACGGTACCTCGCATAAACAAAAAATAGATTAACAAAATAAAAACTGAAATTAAATAACAAAAATTAAATAACAGAAAATAAGGGCCAATCTAAAGAATTAATAGCTACTATTAATGTTGAAATAATAATCCCCGACAACGGCGCCAAAAACTTGTTAGGCTCACGGCAAGTGCACCGGTCGTACAAGTAATATAATGTTTAAGTAAAGAATCGTTCCCACGAGGATTATACTCAATCACTAATTCACTATTGCAACTTAAGTTGGACAATCGAAATTATATTTGGAACAGGATTTGAATTGAAATTTAAAATATTAAAACTAATTAATCGCAAGAATTAAAGACAAGAAATTTAAGATTTGAATTAACTAATAGAAATTAAATGTAGCTAGGTTTTCGATTTCCTTCAATCTCTCGGTTATGTCTGAATTCCTTCTTTAAATTAATCGTCCTTAATATCAATCTAATTGATTCTTTCTAATGTAATTAGGGCTCAATCCTTTGTTACCCTAAATCTTTACAATCTTGCAAGAACCCTAGTTCCCCGATTATTCCCCAAGAAAGAAAGCATTAAATTCAAGAATCTCAAGATTACACAAACCCTATGTCTATCCCTAGAATCATAAAGCTTACGATGAAATTATCATATACAGATCATGCACCAACATTTGTATTGTCATGCATTTACCTAAGATCAATATATAATATTCAAGCTCATATACAGCATTAAGAACAAATAATTTCATTCATGATAGAAAGGAAAATTAACATAACGAATTGTTCAAAACATAATAAAGAAATTGAATTCCATCTAACCCTAACTACTTAAAGAATTAGCCGGACATAGCAAGGTCAAGAATGAAAGAAAATATAAAAGCTTCCCCAAACTCCATAGATGATTGGTGAATCTTCAATATCTCCAGTGCAAGCTTGATTTTGATCTGTCTCCGCCGCTCACGAACATGAACCGATGAATCCTCCGCGATCCCTCTGCCTCCAAGTACCAAGAACTCTCTAGGAATATGAAAAAGTTTGTAATTTTGACTCAAATTGTGTTTTTAAGGGTAAAGAATTTGTGCCCTATGTGGATACTTCAAGTGTGCCTAAGTTGGGTCTTTTGGGGCGCTTAAGCCTGAATTTGGGGGCTTAAGCGCCCTTTTCAAAGAGGAACTTTTACCTGGAAGCAAGCTTAAACCTGAATTTGGGGGCTTAAGCTTCCTAAGGCAGTGGCTATTTGCTTATTAATTGGAATTTCTGGAGTTTTATGGGGCTTAAGCCTCATCTTCAACAATTTGATAATCTTGATTTTTTTCAGATAAGATCTTCAAATCTTCTAGTTTTGATCTCCATCTATCCAATCTTTATATTTGCTTCTATTTATCTTCAAATACCTTCAAAATAGCAAATATATATTATTTAATTCATAATTCATAAAGTTCATGATTTTGTGTCAATAAACCCTAGATTTCACTTATTTAACTTGATAATTCATGTAATTTTAGTCTATAAAATAAGATAAACTAAAGGTTTATCAGTTTCGTTTTCACACTCAACCGGTAAATAATAATGATAATATTAATAAAAAAATAGTATATGTCCTTAGTGGGAACTAAATGAAAAAACGTAAACTAAATGAAATTGAAAATTACAACGAAAATTAATTAAAAAATGAAAACTACATAAGAAACGAAAACTAAATGATTTTGCATTCTAAATTTGAATTTTGAATTTAGAGTATTTCATTTATATTTAGAATTTAATATAACTTAGAGCAGAATAGAAGAGATAAGCCTTTAGAGGACAAAAAATGCCACGTGTCTGCTTTAAACCCCTTGAACCAGTTTCATTTTCACACTTAACTGGTTAGTAATAAATATAATATTAATAATAAAAATTAATAGTATTAACCCTTAATGGGAACTAAATGAAAAATGTGAACTAAATGAGAACGAAAATTACATGAAAAATAAAAATTAACTGAGAAATGAAAACTACATAAGAAACGAAAACTAAATGATTCAATAATATAATTTTGAATTTTGAATTTAGTGTATTACGTTTTTATTTAGAATTTAATATAATTTCGAGCACATATGATTTGTGCATTTTGAATTTAATGTTTAGGAGCTGATTGCATTTGTTATTTAATGTAATAGGAGCTGATTGCGTTTTGTTAGAAGTTGCAATCTTATAAGTTGGTTACGGGTTGTCACTAATTCAAATATTATTAGAGCATATAGGATTTGTGCATTTTGAATTTTGAATTTAGTGTAATAGGATCTAATTGTTTTTTGTATTTAATGTAATAAGAGCTTATTACGTTTTGTTAGGAGTTGCAATCTTATGAGTTAGTTACCCGTGTCTGCTTTAAACCCTATAACCTAATTTGTTTTCACACTTAACCAGTTAATAACAATGATAATGAGGACAAAAATGTCATGCGTCTGCTTTAGACCCTATGAACCAAATTTCTTTTCACACTTAACCGGTTAATAACAATAATAATAATAAATTAATAAAAAAATAATATAGATTAATGTCACTTGTTTGCTTTAAAAACGGAAATTATATGCAAATAGAAAATTAAATGAAAAATAGAAACATCCATATGATGAGTCAAGCTTAAATCATAAGCCCAATTTGCTGATTCAACTGACTCATCTAAATCTATATCTGTATATTATAACTAGAAGAGAGAAATCACTAGAGGACAAAACTGCCACGTGTCTGCTTTAAACCCCAAGAACCAGTTTCATTTTTTCACACTCAACCATTTAATAATAATGGTAATATTAATAAAAAAATAATAGTCTATACCGTTAATATGAAAGTTAGATTAACGTGTTTCTCATCTTATAAAAAATATTATTGAATCGCAATCAAATTTGAATTGTAGATTTTATTTTTTGAATCGTATATCTTAAATTGTATTGACTGATAAGATTCAGATATATAACAGAATCAACTTTACTAAAAGGAATAAAATCAAATCATATCTTGTGTAATCGAGTCTTGCTGTGAACGTAGATATAAGAATCATACTTTAAAAAAAAAATCAAATCATAACTTTATGAAATATATTTAAATACAAATATATATTAATAAATAAGATAGTAAAAATAGAAATAGAATTGGTAAAATTAGAAAGAAAGAAGATATAAACATAATACGGTGCCCGAAGATGTTTCATGGGAACCGGTGGAGGAGCTCCAGCGTATCTATCTATATATAACTACAAGAGAGAAATCACCAGTTAACAAAAATGTCATATATCGGCTTTAGACATCGTGAACCTGATTTATTTTCACACTTAACTGGTTAATAATATTGATAATGAGGACAAAAAAATGTCATGTGTTTGTTTTAGACTCCATAAATCATATTTTTTCACACTTAACCGATTAATAACAATAATAATAATAAAATTAATAAAAAATATAAATTAATGTCACATTTTGCTTTACAAATGGAAATTATATGGAAATAGAAAATTAAATAAAAAATAGAAACATTTATCTGATGAGTCAAGCTTATATCATAAGCCCAATTTGCTGACTCGGCTGACTCATCTATATGAGTGTATCTCTATCTATATCTATATATTATAACTAGAATAGAGAAGTCACTAGAGGATAAAACTGTCACCTGTCTGCTTTAAAATCCATGAACCAGTTTCGTTTTCACACTCAACCGGTTAATAATATTATTATTATTAATAAAAAAATAATAGTATATACCCTTAATGGGAACTAAATGAAAGACTTAAACCAAATAAAAATAAAAATTACATGAAAAATGAAAATTAATTGAGAAATGAAAACTACATAAGAAATGGAGACTAAATGATTCTGCATTATAATTTAGAATTTAGAATTTAGAATTTAGAGTATTACATTTTGATTTAGAATTTAATATAATTTAGAATAAAATAGAAGAGAGAAGACACTAGAGGACAAAAATGCCATGTGTCTGTTTTAAATCCCATGAAATATTTTCATTTTCACACTTCATCGGTTAATAATAATGATAATATTAATAATAATAAATTAATAAAAAATAATAGTATTAACCTTTAATGGGAACTAAATGAAAAACGTAAACTAAATGAGAACGGAAATTACATGAAAAATGAAAATTAATTGAGAAATGAAAACTACATAAGAAACAGAAACAAATGATTCAACAATATAATTTTGAATTTAGAGTATTATGTTTTGATTTAGAATTTAATATAATTTAGAGCAGATATGATTTGTGCAATTTGAATTTAATCTTAAGGAGCTAATTGCACTTTTTATTTAATATAATAGGAGCAAATTGTGTTTTGTTAGGAGTTGCAATCTTATAAATTGGTTACAGGTTGTTTCTAATTCAAATGTTATTAGAGCATATAAGATTTGTGCATTTTGATGAACTTAATGTAATAGGAGCTGATTTTGTTTTGTATTTAATGT